TCTTGTCTCAAAAACAATGAATGTGATTAAAATAGAAATGCATTCTCTCACAGTGCTGGGCCAGAAGCCTGATGTCGGGGTGTCTGCCAGGCCGTGCTCTCTCCAAAGTGTGCAGGGAAGGTGACTTCTTCACTTCTCTCAGCTTCTAAGAGCACCAATCTCTGCCTCCGACCACCTTGTCACAAGGACACCAGCCGTGCTGGAAGAGGGGTCCATCCTCCTCCAGAATGACCTCATCTTCCTAGTCACATCTGCACCAGTGGTAGTGAGCCTCGCCATACCAGGGATCTGAATCTGCCAGCGCCTTGAGCTTGGACTTCCAGGGGCAGAAGCAAATGTTTTGTGGCTTAAGCTGGTTTTAGACCAGTGTAGTAGCCTGAGCTGACTAGGACACTTTGGCTACATAACAGCAATATTTGATACATTTACATCACACAGTTCTTTTTTTTTTTTTTTTTGGCGTTACTAGTGTTTGAACTCAGGCCCTGGCAATTGCTAGACAGGCACTATACCACATTCATGCCATTTTTTGCTTTAGTTATTTTTCATGTAGGGTTTGTTTTGCTTTGTTTTGTTTTTCAGCAGTACTGGGGTTTGAACTCAGGGCTTTACACTTTTTTTTTTCTTTTTTTATTATTTTTTTTTTCTTTTTAGGGCTTCACACTTGCTAGGCAGGTGCTCTACCACTTAAGCCACTCTACCAGTCCTGTTTTATGTTTGTTTGTTTGTTTGTTTCAGTACTAGGGCTTGAACTCAAGGCACACACCTTGAGCCACTCCACCAGCCCTTTTTTGTGATGGGATTTTTTTGAGATAGGGTCTCATGAACTATTTCCCAGGCTGGCTTCAAACTGCAATCCTCCTGATCTCTGCCCTCTGAGTAGCTAGGATTACAGGTGTGAGCCACCAGCGCCCAGATTCTTCTTTTTTGGAGACAAATTCTCACTATGTAGCCCAGACTGACTTAAACTCCCGATCCTCCTGCCTCAGCCTCTTAGTGCCCAGTCTTATTTGTGTTTTGTTTGTTTGGGGTTTTTTTGGTGGCACTGGGGTTTGAATTCAGGGCTCATACTTGCTAGCAGGTGCTCTACCACTTGAACCACTCCGCCAGCCCTCACTTTTTTTTTTTTGAAACAAGATCTGGCTACAGAGCCCAGACTGGCCTGGAATTCTAGATCCTTCTACCTGAGTTCTGGGATTACAGACGTGTACCACCACACTTAACTGTCCCTTTCTTTTTTAATATTGATTTAGCTATTCAAGCACCTTCATTCCTTCATAAGAATTGTACACAGGCTTATTGAGTGTCTGAAAATAAATGTCTATGGAATCCTGATTGACATTTCCTTGAATTCATCCAATGTTTTGGAAAGAAATGATACACGAATAACATGACATCTGCAATCCAGTGGCAAAAAAAAGGCTGAATTTTTCACATTTTATTTTTGTTTCGTTTCTGTGGTATTGGGGCTTGAACTCAGGACTTTATGCCTTCTGGGCAGGTGCTCTACCACTTAAGCCACTCCACTAGCTCTTTTTTTGTGGGTTTTTTCGAGATAGAGTCTCTTGAACTACTTGCCCGGGCTGGCTTCAAACCTTGATCCTCCTGATCTTTGCCTCCTGAGTAGCTAGGATTACAGGTGTGAGCCACAGGTGCCCAGCCACACTTTCTTCCATATCCTTTATTTTTTTAATTTTTAATTTTTTTGCAGTGCTGGGCATCAAACTCAGGGCTTTGTGCCTGCTAGGCAAGTGCTCTACCATTGAGCGCCACCCCCCAACCCCATATTCTTTATTGGTGTTTAATGTTTTTTTATGTCAAGGCCTTATGCATCCTTGATTAAGTTAACTGTCAGATACTTATTGAGGAAGCGCAACTTAAAAAATTATGTTTTAATTGATTACTAGTGTTTTAGCAACATGACGATTTTTTTTGTAGGCTGATCTATTAATCTTGAGAAACCCTTGGCTAAGAGCCTTCCTGCCCTCTGTATTAGGAAGGCAAGTATTTCTATAACAATTTAGTCAGTTGTTAGTCAGGTGTGGTAGTGCACATCTGTAATCCCAAACACTCTGGAGGCTGAGGGGGAGGATCCCAGTTCAAGTTCTGCCCAGGCAGATAGTTTCTTCAGTCCCCATCTCCAAAATAACCAAAGCAAAATGGACTGGAGGTGTGGCTCAAGCGGTAGAGCGCCTGCTTTGCAAGCGCGAAGCCTTGACTTCAAATCCCTGTATCACATAAAAATCTTTAAAGATTTTTTTTTCGTTAGTTCCTTTGCTAAGCCTCCAGCCCTCACTCTGCACGAGGGGGCGCTGAGGCCTCGCGTCCGCCCGGGGAAGGTGCAGTGCGGGGGGCGTGGCGCCAGGGGGCGCTGACGGACCAGGTGTCCCCAGTGTGCGGGGCGCTGGGAACTCAGTGATCCTCCAGGCGGGCGAGGAGCCCACGTTGTCAGCGGGGAAGTGCGGACAGACGAGATAAGCTCAGGTCCTTCCATGGTGCAATAAATTCTACGGAAACAATGAATCCGGCCGAGTTCTGGTGGTTCATGTCCTAACTACTGGAGAGGCTGAGATCGGGAGGACCGCAGGTTCGAGGTCAGCCTGAGCAAATAGTTCATGAGACCCCCCCAACCCCGCATCTCCATAATAACCAGAGCAAGATGGCCTGGAGATGTGACTCAAGCCATAGAGTGCCTGCTTTGCAAGTGTGAAGCTCTGAGTTCAAACCCCAGTCCCACCATAAGAGCTCAAAGGCACCTCTGAGGGGTGACACAGGTGACAGGGACAGAGTATGGAAGGAAAGACCTTGCTGTGTGGGGGTCCGGGTCAGGCAGGGTTTGCCTTAAGCACTTTGTGGATACCAAAAGAGGGGCTAGTACCTGGAGTGACACTTGCCGGTATTTGCAGAAGGAGATACTGGGATACCAAGACATCAATAAAAATCCTTGCAGGAAAGAGGAACCAGAAGGTGGTAGATGGAGACTAGGGGGTTGGCTGGGTGAGAAAGTCATCAGGCTGCCAGGTGGGAGGCCAGCCGTGGGCAGGTGTGTGGCTACTTACGAGGGTGGCAGGCCCCTCAACCCTGTGTCCACTGGAGCTTGGAAGAGAGCCTGTGATTCCAAGAGTAACACTGGATTGTCGGAGCTTCTGGTCACCCTCTTTCCACAATGACAAGGTGGACAGCAATGTTTAGTATATGCCTGCCCCTAATCTATGCTCTCTCCTTTGAAACCCCCACAACCCCAGGGGGCTCATTTCACAGAAATGGACACAGAGAGATTACGTGAATTGCTGAAGGTCACACAGCTAACAAAAAGTAGGACAGATGGCATTTGAATCCAGGCGGAAAGCCTCCTTTATTTGAGACAGGGTCAGTCCTGCTGTGTATTGCAGGCTGGTTGGGAACTCATCCTCTTTCCTCTGCCTCCTGAGTGCTCTTAACCACAAGGCCTTCCCGATCCTTTTGCTGTATTCTGGTGCTCAGCTTTAGATAGGATTATCTCTGAAGGTTGTGAGCAGTCACCCACACCTTGGTATGAATTAGTTGACCTCTTCCCACCACTAAAAATAACCACTGCTATGGCTTCTGGGGCACCGCAGCAGAGGAGTTAAATAGTTGGGCTCTGGAGTCATGTCTGGAATTGAAGTCCAGTGCCACTGTTTCCCAGCTATGTGACATTGGGCATCACTAATCTGGGATTCAGTTTCCTCATCCTTCAAGTTCCCATTTGCCAACTGAGGAAACTGAGAGGTTCAACACACAGCACGTCCAGGACTTGAACTTGGGTTCTGAGCACTTGCCGCACCCCACAACCATGAGGAACCAAAAACAGGTTCCATGAGAGGGAAGTAGAAAGTTCTCTGGCTGAAGCAGGGGCTTCTGGGACACCAGCCAAGGTGACCGTGACCAGGGGTGACATAAACACCCTCCAGGTTGCACCCCACATCTGCGCCTGGGGAAGGGGGAGTCCCATCCACGCGGGGCAGCAAGGCCAGAACAACCCCCAGATGCTCCTCTTCTTTGTGGGCCCCTGATTCTGGTGGGGAGCGGGGGAGGGAAACCTCAGTCAGTAGAGGTGGGGGAGGTACATTTTCTGGCCCTGTCCCAGGGCCTCAGCCCGGCTGCAATGCATCCCAACTCCTGACCACAGACAGCTGGAGCCACCAGCACAACCACAGTGGGTGTTAAAATGTATTAAGTGGCCACTACCCACTTCTGAGACTCCCTTCCCTCCTCCGGGACCCCCCCACCCAGTTCTCCTCACACCTTGGCATGGAAGAATTAACTCCTGCTAACTAGGAGACTTCCCTTACTAGTTCTGGGGACACTGTCCATTCTGAATGGAAAAGGACCCTGCTGATGGTTGGTATCTTCCCTGGTGGAGCTCCAATATCAATCCCTCTAACCCCAAGCTCAGAGTACACAGATCTGGGTAGAATCCATTTCGCACAAATTCCTGTCTGATTGCTTCCTTCAGGAAGCCCTCCAGGATTTCTTCACCACCCCAAGGGCCCATGCACTCAGCCCCTAAGTACTTTGGGGGTGTGTTCAGCACACTTTACTCTTCACACTCAGGCCCTTTTCTTCCACCTTAATGCCATTTTCTGCTCCTTTTTGCGGCCTCAACTCAAAAGACCATGTTAAACAAACAGTAACAGTCAGATACTCTTCACAGAGTGGAGGAACGACTTGTTTGCTAAGTGACCCCCTGTGTCGAGGTGGCAGGGACCCACAGGGAGCACGTGTGCATCTCCTGTAGCCTTCGTCCCCACTGGGGCCCTGCTGGCCTGGCCCAGGCCCAGGCAGGAGAGGTGGGGACAGGATGTGAACCCCCAAGGCGCCTGGGGGTCAGCAGGGCAGGTTCTCATGCTCTCTGGCTGGGAGGAGATATTGTCCATCTGGCAAGGCCAGTTGTGGGCAGACACTGGGATGTGAGGAACCCCAGCAGGACAGTGGGACTTGGCGGGGGGGACTCAGGGAAGACCAGGCACACAGAGGTGTTGTAACAGAACCATTAAATACAACTTATAAACAGCTGGGTGTGTTGGGGGTGCAGAGGGGTCACACAGCTGAGGGTCAGGGGGGCGCCATCCGGGCACGGTCCTGGAGGGGGCTCAGGCTGCCATCATCAGAGGGGCTGGGCTGCCGGAGGCCTGGCTGCTTGTGCAGACCCCTCAGCTTGGCCAGCAGTTCCTGGATGAAGTCCTGGGAACAGGGTGGGGTCTGAGAATCCAGGAGGGACCACCTAGGCCCGGTGGCCTGGGCCCCTCCTGCCGCCTGGTCAGTGGGGGAGGTAGAGGTAGGGAGGGATGCAAGGAGGAAGAAAGACAGAGACAAGGAAACAGCAAAACAGAGAAAGAGACACAGGGAGAGAGGAAGGGAGGGACAGAGAGAGATAGGGAACAGCTGGGCTTGGTGGTCCACACCTGTAATCTCAGTACTGGGGAGACTGAGGCAGGAGGGAGTTCAAGGCCAGCCTGCAGTGCATAGCGAGACCCAGCTTGGTTGCTTTCTCTTTCTTTCTTTCTTTCCTTTCTTCCTTCCTTCTTTGTTTCTTCTTTCTTTTTGGTGGGACTGGGGTTTGAACTCAGGGCTTCGCACTTGCAAAGCAGGTGCTCTACCACTTGAGCCACATCTCCAGCCCATTTTGTTCTATTATTTTGAAGATGGGGGTCTCAGGAACTATTTGCCTGGACTGGCCTTGAAACACGATCCTCCTGATCTCAGCCTCCCAAGTAGCTAGGATTAGAGGCATGGGCCACCGGCGCCCAGCTGAGACTGTTTCAAAAAAAAAAAAGGAAAGAAAGAGAAAAACAGCAGAGCTAGAGACAGGGAGAGAGACATAGAGAGACAAGATGTTGCTCAGGCTGGATGATAGGAGGGTCCCCAGAGACACAGGCCTGAGAGGGCTCCCTGCAGCCTGACATGCAGTGACCAGTGACGTTTGACCCTCAGGCAACCCTGAGCTGGTAGGAGAAACAGGAATATTTTTCCCTTTTAAAGCAGGGAAGGAAGTAGGCGGGGTTGGGCTGCTCAACTCCAAGGCCTGGAGGATGGGGGCCCCCCAAGAGGTGGGCCAGGGAGCTGGGGTGGTGGAGGCAGTAACTGGGAAAAAGACGGAGGGAGGCAGAACCTCAGACAGCAGCCAAAGGACAGGCAGAACTGAGGCCAAAAGAGGAGACAGATGGGGGTAAGGCTCTGGGAGCTGATAACGGTGATGACAGATGGGAGAGAGGAGGAGGGGGACAAAGGACATCACTGGAGAGCAGAAAAGAACTGAGACAGGGCTCCCAGAGTGCTCTTGGCCTGTCCCCACCATGGCCAGCCTCCCCCGCCCCCATCAGGGTTCAGGGACCAGACAGAGCCTGTAAAGGGGAGGAGGACTCACCTCTGTGGGGTTCGTACATGACTTCAGAAGTCCCTAGTACCCCCCACCAAACAAAACAAAACAGTAAGTCACTAATACTAATTCCCCTCAAGCCTCTTCCCTTCCCTGACAAAGCCCAAGGCAGCAGGACAAATGGAAGTCAGACCCCAGGGTGGACTGCCCGCCCGGCTTCAACGAGGGAGAAACACAGTCTTAGGGCATTATAGAGTGGCCAGGTACAGGGCTGAGTCACCAGATCACCTATTTATGACCTTTGGAAGAGCAGAGGTCAGAAGGGAAAGGGACATGGCAGCCAGACAGCCTGGGTTTGGCTCCTAGCTCTGCTCATGTTAAGCTGTGTGATCCTAGGCAAGTGATTCAATCTCTCTGGGCCTTATTTTTCCTTATCTGCAAAATAGAGATAATAATTGTGCCTGCTTTAGAGCGTTGTGTGGGGATTAGCAGTTGAGCAAGGGGCTGGCTCTGTCGCGGTTCAGTAACCCTGTCAACTCTCTCTATTCCTTTCAGGACAGTGGAAAGTGGAGAAGGGTGGGAGGCAGGGGGCTTCCCCCCACACCTACCTGGATTTTCCGGCTTCTCTCCTCTTCGTCTTCCAACTCCAACAGCTCATCAATGTTGACTTCATCAGGCATGTCTGCCTCCTAAGGGCCCAGGGAGAGAGGGCTGGTCACCGGTCCCTTCTTCTCCCTCCCTCTCCTTTTGTCCCAGGCTCGGGATGGAGGCTCCCCACCAGCCCCAGGGCCCAGCTGGCAGGTCCCAGAGCAACTATGTGGCAGTCAGGGACATCACCACCCAAGCAGGACATCTGGGTACTGGGGGGAGGGGTAACAGATGAGGCTGATGGGGAACCAGGGCCCAGTACCAGCCCACTGACGGTGCCCAAGGGCCAGGGACAGCCCCGGGGTTGGCACGGGTCTCTCTGCTGTTGGCCGCAGTTCCCACAGTGGAAAACAGGCCCAGTCGAGTCCTGGAATGTTCGATTCTGGGATTCAGGAGAGGGGCTGGCTTCTGCCCTTTCAAGGCAAAGTCTCAGCAGTAGGTGCGGGGGAGGGGAGCCTGCTGGAGCGGGCCCCTTCCCCCAGGGGACAGTGGAGGGGGGGAGCACAGAGCTAGTCATAACAGGGGACCAAAAGCACAAGAGTGTGGGTCCATGGAGGTGACCACTCAGGCCCCTCATGGTGGGTGGGTGAGATGAGTCACAGTCCTTCTCTGAGCTGCCAGGAGGGGGACTCAGAGTTTGACCTCAGGGTGCAGCTGGCTCAGGACCTCTGTCTGTAACAGGGTCCAGCTGTCCTGGGTGAGAGATCCCTGGAGTTACAGCCTATTGTCCCCACCCAAAATCTTGCTGTCCAGCTGGAGGTGGGGGCCTGGGTGGGTAAGAGGGCTAGAGTGCCTGTAAATTGTCACTCGGTGACTGAGCCAGAGCCTGACACAAGGGTCTGGGCTGGCTGAGGGGCACAGGGACAGCATCAGGGGTGGTTTCGTGCAGGTCCGAGTGAATGTCCAGCATGTATTTGTGGCTTGGGTGTGTTTGTCTCATTGTCACGCACCCAGGGCCAGCTGTAACACTTACTGTGGGGGGAGGCGGAGTTCCCACATGCCTCTTCCCATTAGAACTACAGTTGCCCACCTCCATGAGCCCACACGTGTGTCCAAGAACAGAGGACCTGTGTCCCTGTGAGGACCCTGGCTTCCTCCACCACGAGGCAGTGCTGAGCAGTGTCTGCGCACTGTAACAGCCACCAGGTACCAGTCCTGTTCTGCAGCACATGCACGCATGTCATAGGAAGTATGACTTCAGTCACACTCACATGGTGAAGTGTCCGTGTCTGCTTGCAGCCTACAAATCAAAGTCTATACGTCCGGCATCTAAGCCTGTGGACATTTCTAGCTTACGTGATTTTGTGTCTCTGTGTGCTTGTAATTTCCTTCATTCGTGTGGCTCCAGTCATTGGATTTGTAGGTGACCATACCTTTTCCATTTAGAAGATAACGGATAGTCTTAGGTATCTTGAGTCACTTTGTGTCCAGGCTAATGGGCCTTGTCCACATGTCGCTACGGCTTGAATGGGTGTATATCTCTAGACTGTAACTTGAGTCCTTTGGTGTTAAGTGCAGTTGTGTTTTGGGTGTGCATGTGACCATGGCGGGGCTGTGGCTGTGGCATGTGTTGATCTGTAAGTGCATAAAATTTGCTGTCCTTGTGAGTTTGTGTGTGACCATTATGGCTGTGTCTGTCTGCGGCTGTAACTTCCGTTAGGGTGCACATCTGCATATACTGTTGCTTCCTTTGCTGTGCGTCTCTGTGGTCCTATCTCCTGTCACCATGTCTGTCTGGCTTTAAGACATCACCCCCTCTCTTTACCCTTTCTCCAGATATGGGGGCCCAGGCTCCTCAGCCCTCAACTTCACCTTCTCACCTTCCACAGACTAATCCCTGGCCCTTCCCATTTCTTTGGATACACGTCTGAGGACCCAAGTGTGCATGTCTCTCTCTGATGTCCAGAGTACCACAGAGCTCACGGCCAGGCCGACAGGAGGCTGCGTGTGCACCAGCAAGCACGCACCACCGGAAAATGATGCCCAGGGCGCACAGTCCCCTCCCGCAGAGGGGACTGATCTGTTCCTGGTCACCCTTGCCCCAAAGCCCCGGACCCTCCCGATGGATCTCACCCTGCCAAGGTACAGCTCCTCCAGGCGCCCGTCGATCCACTTCTCCACGTCCAGCCGCCGCTGCAGCTCCCGCCGGTCGTACTTGACGGTGACTCGCGCGTGGCGTTTCTGCAGCCCCCCGGGGCTGCCCCCCGGCCCGCGCGCCCGCGATGGGGACTGCAGCTTGCTCAGCACGCGCTTGCCCAGCCGCTGCGCTGCCATCGCGCGCCGTGCGCCCTGCGCTGTGCGCTCTCGCCTCGCACCCGCCGCCTCTTACGGGCCCGGGCGGGGCGGGGCTGGGGGCGGGGCCCGCGCGTGCGGGGCGGGGGGCGACCCCTCCCCGACACCCGGCCTCAGTTTCCCCGCCTGCAGCGGCAAGCACCGGTCAGGGCGCCACCTGCAGGGTTCAGAGGCGGACCCCAGCCCGGGGGGCTCCCCAATAAGCATTCCGGGGGGCGCGGTCCCGGGACCGGCCTGCCTGCGCCCTCTGGCGGCCGCGGCGGGCGATGCAGGAGCCCCCTGCTGCCTTTGTAGCAGGAGTCAAGCCTTAATTATCCAGAACCATGCTTTTGTTTTGCTTTACTTTGTGGGTTTTGTTTGTTTGGGGTGGAACCCGGGTTTCCAACAAGCTAGGCAAGAGCTCTAGCACTGAACTACCCCGGATCCCTGAACCATCATTCCGTGGCTTTCACTCATTCATTCACTCACTCATCCAATCCATGTATACCCATCCACACGATCACTTATTCACTCGCTCCTGTCCACAAAAAGAAATTGAGACAGGGTCTCACTCTGTAGCCCAGGCTGGTCTGGAACTCGCAGTTCTCCGGCCTCCAGCCTCCTGAGTGCTGGGATTACATGCGTATCCACCACGTCCCGCTGGCAAATATTTTTGAGTTCCTGACACTAGGGATAGAGCCCTGGCCAGGACAAACCCAGGCTTCGTGGTCTTCATACTCTTTGGCATAGACAGGTAGTATAATAAGTACAGTATCTTGTGCAGTTTATTATAATACAATAAGTTCTGTGGAGGGCTGGCAGAGAGGCTCAAGTGGTAGAGTGCCGGCCTAGCAAGCATAAAGCTCTGAGTTCACACCCCAGTACTACCAAAAACATAAAATAAATAGTTCTATGGAGAACTATAATGCAGAAAAGGAATGAAAGTAAGGTTACAATCTTAACAAGGGTGATCAGGGAAGTCTTTTATTTTGTATTTCTTTTGCAGTACTGGGCTTTGAACTCAGGGTCTACACCTTGAGCCACTCCTCCAGCTTTTTTTATTATTATTATTTTGTGATGGGTTTTTTTGAGATAGAAGAACTATTTGCCCTGGGCTGGCTTGAAACCACTGAAACCACGATCCTCCTGATCTCTGCCTCCTGAGTAGCTAGGACTACAGGCCTGAGAGCCACTGGTGCCTGGGAAGTCTCCTACACGACAAGTCTTCCCACTCCTGATTATAAGCAGCGAGAATTATACTTGAAAACTTAAATCATGGTGGTGCACACCTGTAATCCCAGCACTCAGAAGGCTCAGACAGAAGGACCAAGAGTTTGAGACCAGTAGATGAATGCAGACGGGCTGAGCGCTTACTCTGCCTCTTCCCAAGGCATGTCCCAGGCTGTGTGATAATTCTGTTTCCTATGCCTTCACCGTGCTCTTTATTTGGGGTGTAGGGGTGAGTGCCCGCACCTGGCATGTGAAGCCCAGGGGTTTCGGCCTGGGTTCAAAACTCTGTTTCAGCTTTGGCAAGTTGAGCCACTCACAGTTAATGAACCCTGGACAGAGCAGAAGGCTGGAATTGGGGATTAGTTCCTTGTTTTAATTCCAGGAACTTTTTTATTTTTAGTTTTAGTTTTTGGTGGAACTGGGATTTAAATTCAGGGCTTTGGGCTTGCCAGAGCAGCACTCTACTGCCTGTTCTGGTTATTTTAGAGATGGGGGGTCTCATGAACTATTTGCCCAGGCTGGCCTTGAACTGGGATCCTCCCATTCTCTGGCTCCCAAGTAGCTAGGAACCAGTCCCCGGCTCAGGGTCTTTTTGCTTTTTTTCCTCTTTGGAGGCACTGGGGTTTGAACTCAGGGCCTCTTGCTTGCTAGGAGGCACTCTACCGCTTGAGCTACTCCGCCAGCATAACTTTGTGTTGGGTATTTCTGAGATAGGGTCTCTGGACCCTATCTTGAAACCTCCTGAGTAACTAGGATTACAGGCGACAGCCACTGGTGCCCCACAAGGACTTCTTTTCTTATGTTTCCACTATCGCCAGCATTGGCTGATTTTTGTCATCGTCTGGTGGGTCAGAGAAAGGAGTTTCTGGACTATATGGGCCCTGAAGTCTGATGTTGGTTTAGAAACTCAGACATACCTAAGGAGAGGAAGAGCTGGAACAGGAATAAGTGGTCAGGGTATAGTGGTGTTCACCTCTAACCCAGCACCCAGAGACTGTGACAGGAGAATCTCAAATTCAAAACCAGCCTGGGATACACAGCAGGACACTGTATCAGAAGGAGAAGGGGGGGTGCTGGTGGGTGACTCAAGTGGTAGAGTGCCTGCCTAGCAAGTACGAGGCCCTGAGTTCAAACCCCAGTACTGCCAAAAAAGGGGGAAGGGGGTAAAAGAAGGGGAAATAACTTTTATCTGTAATTTTTGTTTTTTGAGCCACACTGCTTGACCCATACCTCCAGATCATTTTCCTTTGCTTATTTTAGAGATGAGGTCTTGAGAACTGTTTACCAGGGTTGGCCTTGAATCTTAATCTTCCCAATCTCAGCTTCCCAAGTAGCTCACAGGCATGAGCCACCAACTCCCCCTCCCCCATCTTGTCATTCTTAATTCATTTAACAGATATGTTTGTTCAAAAATAATAATTGCAACAATACATTCAATTTTGTATGCTTCAAAAAAAAAGTGTTTTAAGCCAGCCTGGACTACATAGTGAGTAGTTTATCCTGAGAACTTATCTCAAAACATAACAAGAAAGTGATTTGGGGCAGGGGATTTATTTCACTATTTGGATAAACCACCATTTATTTCCTTGTATTTTTTTTGGTGTTACTGGGATTTGAACTCAGGCCTCATGTTTGCAGGACAGGAACTCTACTGCTTGAGCCACTCTGCCAGCCCTGTTTTATGTTGGATATTTTTTCAGATAGGGTCTCGAGAACTATTTGCCTAGCCTTGAACTGTTGTCCTCCTGATCTCTGCCTCCTGCTTGCTGCCTCCCAAGTACCTAAGATTACAAGTGTGAGCCACTGGCACCTGTCTTCTGCTTTTTTTGAGACAAGGTCTAACTATGTAGCCCAGACTGGTCTTAAACTCCTGATCCTCCTGCTTCAGCCTCCCAGTGCTGGAATTACACTTGTACACCCTAACACCTGGCTTCAGTTGCATCTCAATAAAGCTGTTCTATTAAAAACAAACAATAGTGTTGGGTGCCAGTGACTCACACCTATAATCCTAGCTACTCAGGAGGCAGAGATCAGGAGGATCCAGGTTCAAAGCCAGCAAAATGGTTCTTGAGACCCTATCTTGAAAAAACCCTTCACAAAATAGGGCTGGTGGAGTGGCTCAAGGTGTAGGCCCTGAATTTGAACACTAGTTACCCCCCCAAATATATATATAGTAATATATATCTATAGTAATATATCTATAGTAATATATCTAGTAATATAAATATATGTAATATATATATAGAAAAAAATATGTATATAATAAATATATATTCTATATATAGTAAGCCAGATGCCAGTGGCTCACGCCTGTTATCTCAGCTATTTGGGAGGCTGACATCAGAAGGATCAGGTTCAAGGCCGGCCTGGCCAAATAATTCCTAAGATTTCCCCATCTCCAAAATAACCAGAGCAAAATGGACTGGAGGTTTGACTCAAGCAGTAAAATGCTTGTTTTGTGAGAACAGGCAAACCCCAATCCCCACCCCCCCAGCCAAAAAAGGCAAGTCCAGGTGGACCACACCTCTAATCCTAGTTATTCAGGAGGCAGAGATTTAGAAGATGGAAATTTGAGGTAACCTTCCTTCTCAATTAGCAAGCACACTTGCTATCCCAGGAAGGTGGGAGCATCACAGTCTAAGGCCAACCCCCGGTGAAAACTGGGGACCCTACCTGGAAAATAACTAAAGCAAAAGAGGGCTGGGGGAGTGGCTCAAGTGGTAGGGTGCCTGCCTAGCAAACATGAGGCCCTGAGTTCAAACCCCAGTACCAACCCCGGTACCACCAAAACCAAAAACAAACTGTCCTGAGCTTGCCTTTGCCCTAAGACTGAAGGCCAGGCCCCTTAGGTTAGTATTCAAAGCTATGACCTGCTGGACATCAGTGGCTCACCCCTGCAAGGTGTGAGCAGCCAGCCTGGGCAAATGGTTTTCGAGATCCTGTTCCAAAAAAACCCCATCACCCAAAAGGGCTGCTTAGAGTGGCCCAAGGTGCAGGCCCTGAGTTCAAACCCCAGCTCTGCAAAAACAAAACCAAAAACAACCAAGAAAAAAAAAAAAAAACCACAAAAGGACCGGTGGCATGGCTCAAGTAACAAAGCACCAGTGCCTAGCAAGCACAAACCCCTCAAAACCAGTACCGCCAAAGCCAAACCAAAATAAAAGTCACACACACAGACACACACACAGACACACACACACACACACACACACACACACACACACGAAAGAAGTGTCTTATAAAACAGTATACTGGGTCTGGGGGTGTACCACAGTGGTAGAATGCTTGCCTAGCATACAGGAGGCGCCCTGGGTTTGATCCCTGGCATCACAAAACACCACCACCACCAACAAAACAACAAAAACCCCACAGCCAAAACAGTGTGTTGTGTTATACCAGGCAGTAGTTTCTTCCATCCCTCTTGTACTGCATCTTTCTTTCTCTTAGCTTTTATAGGTTACCTGTTTATTATAAGGAATTTTACAGGCCGAGTACTAGTAGCTCACGTCTGTAATCCTAGCTACTCAGGAGGCAGAGATCAGGAGGATCAAGGTTCAAAGCCAGCCCCAGGCAAATAGTTCTCCAGACCCTATCTCTAAAATACCCAATAAGAAACAGGGCTGGTGGAGGGGCTCAAGTGGTAGAGCACCTACCTAGCAAGGGTGAGGCCCTGAGCTCAAAGCCCAGTACCACCAAAAAAAAAAAAAAAAAAAAAAAGAAGAAGAAAAAAGAAAAAGAAATTACAGAGACAGAAATGAAGAGATGCATGGCGGAGGTGTGGGAGAGGGCTGCAGAGCTTCCTCGCCCTCTCTGGGAATGCACCTCCAGGGGCCCCCATGTGTTGGGCTGTGTAGAACCTACAATGTTTGGATTTTCCAAGTCAAGTGGTAGACCTGTGTCGTGTAGGTTTGTCCCCGAGGTGTTTGCATAATGATTAATCCTCCTAATGATGTATGAATGTATCCCCATTGTTCAAATGACACCTGTACAAACTGGGTGCCCAGTGGACCCCTGGCACATGAAGACTCTGCCATTTGTGTTCATTGTGAAAATACATTCTCCAATCTCTGTGAGCTCACATATTCTTGGGGATTTCTAAGAGGCGCTTAAACTGCTTTTGCACTAACTCTTTACTCGGGTCTGGAATTAACTAAAATCAGGAGAAGAGCTTGGCACCCCTGCCTCCATTTTGTATCTGTCTTTGTCTGTGCCATTCATCATTCAGTCAACTTCCTTGGAATCCAGGAAGGATAGGACTTACTGATGACCTGTTTACAAAGAGGGATGGTGGAAACTGCTCCCAAGGAAGGGAACATCAGAGCCTCCCCAGGACACAATAGCAACTTCTGCAGAACCCTCCCAAAGCAAGGACTGAGATAAAGATCCACCCAAACACACCTGTAACTGGGACTATTTTATTATGCCTACTTTTTGTCCCCTGTCCTAATTTCTAACTATTTAGAACTAAAGCTTCTGTCTGCACCTGGAAGGTGGCTGACAATGAACTGAGTGCTTACTCTACCTCTTCCCATGGTATGCCCCAGGCTGTGCAATAAATCTTTCTCACACCTGTAACCCCAGTTATTCAGGAGACAGAGATCAGGAGGTTTGAAGCCAGTCCGGGCAAATAGTTTGAGAGAACTTATCTCAAAAATACCCAACACAAAATAGGGCTGGTGAAATGGCTCAAGGTGTAGGTCCTAGTTTAAACCCAGTATCACCACAACAACAAAAAAATCTTTCTCTGCCCTAACCATGCCTTTTTTTTTTTTTTTTTTGGTACTGGGGCTTGAACTCAGGGCCTACACGTTGAGCCACTCCACCAGCCCTTTTTGTGATGGATATTTTTGAGATAGGGTCTCACAAACTCTTTGCCTGGTCTGCCTTCAAAAGGTCCTCCTGCCTCCTGAGTAGCTAGGATTACAGGTGAAAGCTACCAGTGCCCAGCTATGTGATTTTTTTTTTCAAGATGGGGTCTCACAAAATGACAAAATAAAAGAAAGAAAAAAAAATATAGGGTCTCACTAACTATTTCCTGGGACTGGCTTCACACCAGATCTCTTCTAAATTTTAAACAGAAAAATTCCAAAGCAGGTGCCAGTGGCTCACATTTGTAAACCTAGCTACTCAGGAGGCAAAGATCAGGAGGATTTCAGTTCAAGTCCAGCACTGGGCAAATAGTTCCTGAAACCCTATCTAGAAAATAGGGCTGATGGAGTGGCTCAAGTGTAGAGCTCCTGAAAGATAATGGACAAATTTTCCAAAGAAGGCCAGTATGAATTGAAATGATAATGTTAACTAAGTGCTTATTTTCTACTGTTCTTTCTCTCTGTCTTCACTAAACAAGGAACATACTTTTTTGTTGTTTTCTTTTTTGAGACAGGGTCTTCCTGTGTAACTCAGTCTGGCCTAGATTCTCCTGCTTTAATCTCTTATATGCTGGAATTGTACGCATGTACAACTGGCAAGGAAAGTAACTTAGAAATGGCCAGTCCACTTTGTTTTGTTATTCAGCCTTTTTCTGTCTATACATCCATCTTATCCTGCTCAATTATTTAAAAACACTTAATCCACATATATATATATATATGTGTGTGTGTGTGTATGTTTATTTCATTTATTCATTTTTTTGTGGTACTGGGATTTGAGCTCAGGATTTACACTTTGAGCCACTCTACCAGCCCTTGTTTTGAAGGGTGTTCTTGAGATAGGGTTTCTATTTTCCTGGGCTGATTTGAACCTTGATCCTCCTGATATCTACGATTACAGGCATGAGCCACAGACCCCCAGCTTGGTAGGTTTTATTTTTGAGAGCACTGGGGTTTGAACTCAATGCCTCATGCTTGCTAGGCAGGTGCTCTTACTGCTGGAGCTACTCTGCTAGCTCTTTATTTGTGGCGAGTTTTATTTGCCCAGGACTGGCTTCGAATCATGATCCTCCTGATCTTTGTTTCCTGAATATGTAGGATTATAGGAGTAAGCCACAGGCACCCGGCTTTCCCAACTTTACAGTGGCCTTGACAGGACAGAATTTTTCTTAGCTGTACCAGCATCTACCATAGCCCCTGGCTGACTGAGTGGATGCCTGGGTGAATGAGTGGACCTCTGTTTTCTCTCCCCCACCCACTCCCCACCAGTCTTCATGCTTACACAGTAGGTGCTGGGAGAGACCTTTGACCTCACATTCAGACTACTGACCTTGAGGCACGGGACTTCATTGCAGAATTAAAGAGAATACATGGCATAAAACTTGAATTGTTTACAGTAAACACCATATTGATAACTCAGTTAAGGTTCTTCATGTTTTACTGAGCCAGAGAAGCTGAACAGATCCTTTTTTGGTTCATAAGCATGATGATTGAGTGTTCATGCCTTTGGGTGACATGTGCCGCCCTCAAACCTTGTTACAAGGTGGGCACATTACCCTTCTGACTTGAAAAAAAAAAAAGAGAAGCTGAATAGTGGGTGTGGTCCTGGCTTCTGCAACACGTCGTTCCCCGCCTTAAGACCTCTGTATCTGCTGTTTCTGCTGCTTTGAATATTTGTCCCTTGTCATCCTTCATTATCAAAGCCACCATCCCAGTCAATTCATTGTCCCGTTTTCGATGATAACGCATTCATCAGGCTGTCCCCCTCCTTCTAGCCAGCTCATGCAAGGTCCTCTAAGCAGAAGTTGTTCCTCACTCACAAGTTGGGTCGGGTACCTCCTTTGACTTCCCCCTCTGAGATCTGATCACTGCGCCTGTCTGAGCTTCCCTATCTCAGCACTGACGTCTCTACTGGGAAGCCTGCAGGCGAGTTCGGGCTTTTGCTTTTTCTTGCGACCACTACTTCCAGGAAACCCTCCCTGGCCCTCTCCAAGGCTGTACAGGGAACCTGACTCCCACCATACCCTGCTCTTCCCTGGTCCCAGTCCCTAATCACTCAAGGAGGGCTTTCCCCCTCGCAGTCCTGGTCATTTTGCCCTATGCTTCCGCCACCATTGCTCTGGACTGCCCCTGTCTGATGACACAGGGACTAGTTTGGCATAGTCACCGCTGTGTCCCCAGCATTGCGACACCAGAGTAAGCGTTCAGTGAACGCTGGTTTTAGGAATACATCCCTTACCCGCAAAGAAAGGCTAAAGCAAGGGCGGCAGAAAACCACAGGTTTCCAAGAAACAGCTGGAGGTGTGGCTCAAGCAGTAGAGAGCCTGCCTTCCAAGAGCGCGCGGAGACCCAGCACCAGAACCGAAGCTAGAGAGGGACCTCAGCGCCCGTAGCTCCACCCCGCCGGGCTCGGTGGGGGTGGAGCCAACGCAAGCCACGCCCCCTTTCCGCACATAGGGGCGGGTCCAGGTGCACCAAGGGCGGGGGGAGGGGGGAGCCGCTGCTCAGGTGCCGCCCTTCTGCGCGTGCGCCCCTCGCGCCCCGCCTCGGCAGGTGCGCCCCGCCCCCTGCCAACCGCCACTTTCCAGCTGCTTCCAGGCGTCCGCCATTGACTCAGGCGCCCCGGGAGCGTTTGGAGGTGTGGCGCTCCGGAGCTTGGTGTGAGGTGGGGGGGAGGGAAGTCGTCGAGGGTCGCCGAGGGGCTGGAGGCGCGTGAGGAGCGTGGAGGGGAGTGTAGTGTAGTGCACGGGTAAGGCATCCTGTGTGTTCGCCGTAGGCCTGGAAAAGGGGCTTCCGGAGACTCGAGAACTTTGCGGACCCTCGCCGGGCTCCGCACCTGAGCTCGCGGGCCTCCAGCACGCGTGCGCGGCATCGCGAGACCCCCCCACGCCCCGCAAACGGCTGGCGGCTTCGACGCGTCGCCCGCGCATCCCGGCCATGGCGCAGCTGTGTGGGCCGCGGCGGGGCCGCGCGCTCCTGGTCCTGCTGGCATCGCTGCTCCTCTTCCGGGCCGAGGCGACCGACGCAGAACCAAGCATCCACGGTGAGGGGTCGGCAGGTGTCCGGGGAGGAGTGGATGGCAGAGGCCGGGGGCTGACCGAGGTGGCGAGCTCAGGAGGGAGGAGAGACGTCCCAGCCAAGAGAGGGAATTTGCGGGGCTTGCGGGGGGGGGTGGAGGGCGGAGGCCAGGCCTGGGGATGGAGCCTTGAGAAGAGGCTGGATAGCTCTTGGGCGTGCGCGGCGGGTGGAGGAGCCAGGGTCAGGAAAGTTTCCTTCAGGGAGGGCGGGGCCGTAGAGTATTGACCCTTGAAGGAGTGGCAGGAAGGAGGTGAGAACCCCGTTGTGCACTCCTAATGGCAGCGGGAAGTTCCTGGGCCAAAGTAAGCCCAGGGAGGCCAGGCCTCGAGGGTGGGGGTTGGGTTAGGTGACCTGGTGGCACCTGTAGCCTCAAGGAAGAAGCCCGCATCCCCACCTCTTTGTATGCTGGACTCTTCCCGCCTCCCCCAGAAGAAAGGGCTTTCTCAGTGATGGCCAAAGGAAGGAATAGGGAAAAAAAAAAAAGCAAGCCGTGGAGGGGAGAAACCTTGCCAGGGTGCCAGGACCTTGGTGTGAGATGAATTGGCATGAGCAACTGGCTTGGCTTCTTCAAGTGTTGTTACAACCGAAGCTGCTTCAGACAAGTACAATCAAGGGTTTGAAGAAGGCTCTCCTGAAAGAATTCATTGATCTGCAGACTAGGTTCCCTTGCTGCGTGGCAGAGATGGCGCTGGCAGTGGTGACAACAAGACAAGCCAGGTGCCTGCATTCACTGAGCTTAGATTCCAGCAGGAGAGACAGTGAACACTTAAATAAAAGAGCACTTGCCACTAGATAAATGATCAAAGATGGGGATGGGGACACTTAGCTCAGGTGGTCAGGAGAGGTCTCTAAGGACAGGGACACCTGAGCCCTATGGTGAAGAATGGGGTGGCAGCTGAACAAGGCTCGGAGGCCAGAGCAAGCTTGTTTGTTTTCCAGCAGAAGCGGGGGAGGGGGGAAAGGGAGGTGGGAGAAGGAATCAGGCTCAGGGCTTTGTGGTCCAGCATATCCCTGAAAGAGAAAGCAGGATGTGTGTGCCCAAGTGGTCTGCTGTGGTAACTTCTGGAGAATTGTTAGTTTCCTAGGCCTCAGGCGGGGTGGGGGGGTGGGGGGGGGTGGAAGAACAAGAGTTGTTGGGAAACCAAGGGTTCAGTGGGGAGAGGTTCAGTTCTAGAGGACCCAGAGTCAGGAAAGCAACTGTGCCATCAAATGTGAACCAGAATTTGGCAGCCCTTTCTGGACTTTTTTTTTTTTTTGGTAAAGCAATTGTGATAGGTAGTACCTCCAGGTACCTGGTCTCTTGACCCATCTGGTTATAACCTCTCTGAGCGCCCTTGATAGTAGGGCCTTCACCTTCAGCCACTCCACCAGCCCTGTTTTTGTGAAGGGTTTTTTTGAGATAGGGTCTCAAAGTATTTGCCCAGGCTGGCTTCAAACCACGATCCTCCTGATCTCTGCCTCCTGAGTAGCTAGGATGACAGGCATGAGTCACTGATGCCTGGCCTTTCTGAGCTCTTGTGGAAACAGCCTGGTGTGGTGACACCACTGGCCCTGTGGAAGATCACACAATAGTAACTGAGAAGAGCAGGTGTGACTACAGAGGCCTTTTCTCTGTTTCTAGTGGCCCCAACTGGCCATGGCTGGACCTCTTGACCTTTCAGAAGTACTGCCATCTGGCTGGCCGAACTACTGCCCTCACTTATCTGAAGTGCTGTTTGCTTGAAAGCTTGAATAGCTTCATCTGAGGCAGGAGGTGGTTGGTTTCCCCTGCCCCCGCTGATTGCTTTGGCTTTCTCACTAGGCAAGGTCATCTGCTAAGAGTGAGATGTTTGTCCTGGCACACACAGCTGCACAGTGCTGCCAGAGAGGTATGTGGAGAGGGACCGTGTAGGAGGGAATGGTTATAGTGACTGGTCATGGAATTTAACCTTCAGGAAGATGTGAGGGAATGGAGGGACAGTAGAAAGGTGGTAGAGCCAGATTTCTGGAGTTGAGGTCCTGGAGGGAGTGATGTGGAAAAATAGGATGCAGTGAGTCTCAGTGATGAAGCTGAGGCTCTGAAGGGTTGCTGTTGATGAGACAAATCTAAGTGTGACTGAGGGGAGGAGAGATCCCTGGAGGAGAAGAGGCCAGGGGACGTGGATCCCCCAGTGACGATGAGCTCAGCCTGAGAGGCAGGGAACCCAAATAAGGGTTATGGAGGAGTAAGGACATGGGCTGCTAGTAACTGGCAGTGGACAGTGAACCATCTAGTCTGATGACTGCTGTCTGCAGCCTGGGGGTTTGGGGAGGATGGACGGAGAATGGTCTAGAAGCAGGAGATCCAGGTTCTGGTGTGAGAAGGGTGACAAGAAGAGTGTGAAGAAATGAGATTTTGCTGAAGGTAGGCCATGAGCTCCTGGGGGCTAGGAGTTGGGATGGAGATGGTAAAAAACAGACTGTGAGTGGATGAGGGTATTTTGTCTGATCAGCATCCTGGGGTCCAAGGTAACCAGTGTTGGTGAGGCTCTGAGTGGCATAGGGCAGCAGGAGGGGGTGTGTGGTAGGTTCATTGGGCACTTTGCAGACAGGCAGGGCAAGTCGATCCTGGCCCTGGGTTTTTCTACTGTTCAGGGACAATTCTAGTCTGCGATGGAAGCTGGCCCAACAGCCAGAGGTGACTGACTGCTGCACTCCAAATTATGCTTTTCACACTGTTTTAGTTACCTGTCTTCTACATCTGTAGGCCTTGGAGTTGTGGCCCCCACCTTAAGAATAGGCTCCAGTTAGAACACCTAACAGCTCTTAAATGGTTCAGAATAGTGTGTGTGTGTGTGTATATGTGTGTGTGTGGGAGGGTTGTTGATGTGAGGGAGGGAAAACCCTTTATCAGGTGGCTGCAAATATTCATGATTTTTTGAGAGCTATCAAATGTCATTTTGATCAGTGCAAGGCCAGATAATATATTTCTTCAAAATAGAACTTTGAAAAACCCTTTAGAGTGGTTGGCTAGTTAGGTTTAGTTCCTGCTGCCAGTGAATTTTGCTGCATTGGGCAGTAGAGCTTGTGTTAATGGTTACTTAACTTACTGTCCTTTTGTCAGTTCTTGGGAATTTCCATTGGAGCTGAGCCCAGCAAGATCACTCCAGACCTTCCAGGGACTTTCATGGGATCAGTTTTCCTTAACCTCCTGTTAATTACAACTTCCCCAGAATCTTAACCATAAGGCAAATATTGTATCAAATCTTCAGTTAGCATGTTTTTAGTTGTCACTCTGTCTTTTCCTCCCTGCCCTGGGTAGTTGTGCTCCTGTTGGTCTCACATAGGACAGATAAGAGCTGAAGTGCCTCTGTGGTTTGGTGATCAGCTGGGGTTCTGTAATGCAGCAGCTTACGTACTTCTCATCCTTCATAGAAGAGGTGCTTGTCCTTCTTGTGAGTGAGGCTTGTTCATTGATATAGCCAATAAGTATTTCTTAAGCAACTACCAAGTGCCAGACACTGGTTTAGGCTCTTGAATAGGACAAAGGTTCACCTCTAGCTGGTAGTAGTGATGCAGGGAAGATGGTGCAGGAGACTGAGGGCTAGGTGGCTGTGTATTTGGTAATGAGCTGTGAAGATGATACAGTAAGGGTTGGGCTTTGGGGGCTCAGGTGATGACAGTACTAATAGGACTTCAAGTCCCCTTAGGGAGAGTGGCCCTTTTCCATCAGGAATGTTCCTTTGTCCTGTCAGTGTTTGTGAGCTCAGCCTGGGTTGGAGAAAGCAAACTTCTTTCTCATCCTGTTCCCCTTTCACTGTGTGTATGGCCAGGGAAACTGCTTGTGTTCAGGTGTCTGGTCAGGCCTCTTGTTTGCCATCCTGAGGTCAGCAGGGAGGCCAAATGAGGGATGAGTAGTCTTGATTTAGGTGAGGGGGAAGAAGATCCCTGTAAGGGTCACACTGGCATGACAGTCCAGGAGGCCTTGGCCCACTGGGCACACGCCTAACGAAGACTACAGATGACCAAAAGCATTAGAATGTGGATTATGGATTTATTGTCTGATCCTGGTCACAAATACTTCATTCTGTATCTGACAAGATTTTCTTTTTTGGAATACTGGAGTTTGAACTCAGGGCCTACACCTGGAGCCACTCCACCAGCCCTTTTTTGTGATGGGTTTTTTTAGAGGTAGGGTCTTTCAAATTCTTTGCCCAGTCTGGCTTCAAACCACGATCATCTGTAGCTAGGATTATATGTGTGAGCCACTGGTGCCCAGCTATTTATTTTATTTTTTGTGGTACTGGGGTTTGAACTTGGGGCTTCCTGCTTGCTACTACCACTTGAGCCACGCCTTCAAGTCCTTTTTCTTTTCTTTTTTTTTTTTTTTTTTGAGACATGTAGCTCAAGCTGACCTGATGTTGGCTATGTAGACCAGGCTAGCTTCGAACTTGCTATCCTCCTGCCTCAGCCTCCCAAATGCTAGGATTACCGGTGTGCCCACCACGTGCTGCTCCTTCCAGGTTATTCTCATGGGCTATTCAGGTCTAACTGTGGATATAGGTAAAGGCAGAACTTACAGTCCTGTTTTAGTGATGAAAAAGTGCTAGCAGGTAGGAGTGGTATTTTTGCATTTGGGCTGATGTTTTATGAAATGTAAACTTTCATATCTAAATATTTATATCTAAAATGTCAAAGTTTTATATCTAATATACCAAGATTTTATGACCACTATAATTTAAATTGGATTTGTCATTGTAAATGTTCCTTCATAAAGTTATAGGGCTTATTTTAAAGTTTCTGAGTTACTTGTCCTAATAATGACACCTTCCAGATACTACTTTCCAGGTAGTTAGTAGCTTTCTGTGTTGCAAGTGGAAGCTTTCACATATACAGCTATCCAGCTTACCAAAATAGGTGGGTTTATAGATTGCTGTAAAACCAGGTCAGTTGTAAAATATATATAGCTTTGGAATTTTACTTGGTACTCTTTTCACTTTGGAATTT